CTATACCTGGAAAATCTCGAAGCCGTAAATATCCAGGACACCCATCACCTTCCGCCGCTCGCCCACAGTCACCTAGGAAGCAAACGGGGCATTGGGAGCCATCGCTGGGACTCTGGGATCAGCTCAGGTGGGCGGCAGGGAGGGCATGGGTTCAGCCCAACACCAGCAAAACCCAGAGGGATCCTGCCTGGAGGGTGGGATCTGGGGGGTGGGATCTGTGGTGCTCAGATCCCCACGGCACTCAGCTTGGCTCTGCGGCCACCGGGCCTGCAGCTGGGCCCCCACGGGGGGCTCGATCCCCAGCCGCCCTCACCTGGATGCTCTCGTTGATGCGGGTCACCAGCCAGTCGAAGAGGCGGCTGTAGATGTTCTTGGCCAGCGCGTCCCGCCCGAAGTAGCCCTGGGAGCAGAGCCGGGAGTTACTCTATGGGCAGCCACCCCGGGCCCGCACCCAGACGGGACTCAGCCGTGCAGCCCCTCTGTTCTTCCCTTCCAGCGCAGTCTGGCCTGGCCCTGGGGACCCCACGGGGGGCTCCCACAGCAGGGGACTGAGGCCAAGGCCTTCAGCCTGAGGGGGCCTGGGGCAGGAAGGGGCTCACCTGGGCAACGCTGAGGGCCGTCACCACCTTCTCCTGCTTGGCCTCCACGGTGCGGGAGCACAGAGCCTGCTCCAGGATACTCTCCTGGAGCCCGATGAGCTCGCAGATGTCCTGCAGCACTGCAGGGGACCGGTGTGGGGGTCAGGTAGGGGGGCACGAGCTCCTGGCTCCATATAGGGCTTCTCCTGGGTGTGGTATGCACACAGGGGCCCCAATCCTGGGGTGCCTTCCCGTCCAACCTTGCATGTTCTGGATGCCACAGGCGTCCATGCCGCTGGCCTGGAACTGGCCGCTGAGCTGCAGGTCGCCCAGCTTGAGCACCACAGCCGTCACCTCCAGCAGCTGCATCACCTCCGCCTCTGAGAAGCCAATGATCCGCATGGCATCCTGCATGGAGAGGAGGGGGCGGGGGTCAGGCAGCGGTGAGGGGAGCCCCCCGGGATGCCGTGGCCCAGTGCCAGCGGCTGTACCTGCACGGCCTGGAAGTTGGTGGCATCGTCTATGCCCGGCAGGCGTGGGTCCTCGTCACCCAGGTAGCCATGGTGCCGGCAGTCGCGCTGCAGCTTCAGCCGCTCTGAGGGAGAGGATGGGCCACGGTGGTGATGTGGACCCCCCAGATCCCAAGCCCCATCACAGCGGCAATGGAGCCTACACCACCCAAACTGTTGCCAGGCCAGTGGGGTTTACACTGCCCAACCCCAACCTGCGCTAACGGGATCTACACCACCCAACTCCTTGCCATGCCAACGGGGCCGAGACTACCCAACCCCTACCTGCGCCAATAGAGTCTACACCACCCAACCCATCATCATGCCAACAGGTCCTACCCACACCCACAACCCCAACCCCACCCCAACCTGTGTTAACAGGGCCTACATTGCCCAACCCATCACCATACCGATGTTGCCCAACCCCCATCACCATGCCATCATACTACCTAGCCCCAACCTGCGCCAGCAGGACCTATGGTGCCCATTCTCCATCACCCTGTCAGTGGGGCCTGTACTACCTGACCTCAGCCTGTGCCAATGGGGCCTATGGTGTCCACCCCACCCCAAGGCCTACAGGGCCGTGCCCAGCACCCATGAGCCCCGCCATGCCCAGGACCACAGGTGGTGCGGCGCGGCCGTACTCAGCAGTGGGTCGGACGCCCCAGCCAGGAGCTGGTAGAAGATGTGGAAGTTCCTCTCGTTCTTGACGTGCCACACGACACGGGACTTCTCCAGAAGATCTGGGTTGGGCCGGGGAGACACGGGTCAGTGGGACAGGGGCCAGCACCATCCACCCATCGTCTGCGCACGGGGCTGCACCTGCCCTGGGCCCAGCTGCGCCAGCCTGAGCACCATGGGGAAGCCCCAGTCTTGAACTCAGGCTCTGCTGCAGTCCCAGCACCCAGTTCGGTGCTGGGGGGAGCCGCCTGGACATCACCAGCTGGAGGGCAGCAAAGCCATGTGCAGCACATGTGCATTGTGTGTGCAACACGTGTGCAGGGAGGGGAGACTGTTGCACTCACAGTTGCTTATGAGGCCTCCCAGGGGCTCGCCCTTGAAGTCGAACTCCACATCCATGTACTTGCCCTGGGAGAAAGGACTGGTCAAGGGCCTGGGGGGTGGGCAGGGGGTCCCAGCAATGCAGGGCTGGGCTGGGACATTGCCTGCCGTTATCCTGCTTCGTTGCAGGTGTCTCTACGGCTTCCTGCCCCCGCCCCCCACCCAGGGCAGACCCTGGGCAACCCCTCGCTCCCCCACCACCCATTGCTAAGGATGCCTGCAGCCAAGGATGCATTGGGGCTCCCCCCACCTTGAGCACTGCCCCCCAGGACAGCCCTAGGCATCCTAGTGCCACAGGGACCCCTCCCCACCCTGCACCCTGATGACAGTCACTCTTGCTCCCTGTGGGGCTTTGCCCCCTTGCCCCGGGGAGCCTGTTCTTCGACTCACGAAGCGGGAGGAGTTGTTGTTCCGGATGGTCTTGGCATTCCCGAAAGCTGCGGAGAGAGGAGGGGAACACTAGGGGCATGGCTGGCACCCCAGACCCCTCCAGGACCCTCCTCCAGGGCAGCTGGAGCCCCAGGGGCTGGATGGGGGGCACATACCCTCCAGCACAGGGTTGGACTGCAGCAGCTGCTCCTTCACCTTGGTCACATCGGCGCCTTTGCTGCACACGGCCGCCACATAGGACATCACCAGCTTGCTGGCCTCTGGCAGAGACAGGGCAGAGCTGGGGGGGGCAATACTACAGCCCCCCCGCCCATGCTGTCTGGGACCCCCCTAGCAGCAAGGAGCCTCCAGGGGCAGCAGAGACACTTGCCCCCTGTACACCCCCCCTCACCAGTCTTGCCAGCACCGCTCTCGCCGGTGATGAGGATGCACTGGTCCTGGTTGCGGTCCCGGAGAGAGCTATAGGCGTCTTCAGCAATGGCATAGCTGGGGGGGCAGATGCATCAGCCCCAGGGGCCCAGAGACAACTCCCACCCCCATGCTGGGCATCTCATGCCGCTCCCTGGCAGGGGTGGGGGCCTCGCTCAGTGGTTCCCCCCACCAGCCCGGGGCACTCACATATGTGGCTTCATGGCGTAGAAGTTGCCATTGCAGTATTGCTCCACCATCTCCGCGGAGTAGATGGGCAGCTGGCAGTACGGGTTCACTGAGATCACCACATTGCCAATGTAGGTCTGGGTAGGCACAAGGGCTGTGAGTGTGTGAAGGGGCGCAGGCAAAGAGGAACAAGCGTGCAAAGGAGAGAGCACAGGGGGCTGGGGGAAGGTGCATAAGGGCATGAGTGGACAGCATGTGGGGACATGCAAGGGCACAAGTGTGCAAGGGAGGCTGCGTGCAAGGGCAGCACTTGGGGGTGACCCAGGGAGAGGGCACAGAAGTGTGCAGGGGGGCAGAGAGCGGGGGGCACATGCAGGTGAGAAGGGCACAAGGGCCTGGGCACCAAGCAGCTGGGAGGGAGCAGCTGATCCCTTCTCCCCCCACAAATCTGACACTCGCCCAGAGCCCCCCCAGCCCGTGCGGCCCCAGCCTGTGCGGCCCCCCCCCAGCCATACGTAGATCTCCTTGTGCAGGAAGCGCTCCTGGAGGTTGCTGAGCAGCGACTCTTCGCTCAGGGGGTCTAGCAGCACCAGGTCGCCCACCCCCACTGTGGCCAGCACTGGTGGGTTCGCCTCCATGGCCCCGGCCCTGGCCCCTGTGCAGGTTGGAGGGGGGGAGCATGAGCTGAGTGGGGCGGCAGCCAGGACACCTGGGTTCCCTCCCTGACTCCAGGAGGGCAGTGAAGTCCCCACCAGGCCAGACCAGGGCGCCTGGGGCCCATTCCCATCAAGGGACTGAGCAAGGACGCCTGTGGTCTTTGGGGCTGGGGGCAGTTAATGGCAGCAGGGCTCAAGCTCCCTCCAGACATCTGGGCTCTTTCCCAGCCCCTGGCTTGGGGGAGGGCAGGTGTCGAGAGCCTGGAGCAGGGCTTGAACTCTGGGCACATCCCCTTGGGGTGCCCAGTCCAAGGGGGTGCAGACGGGCTCGGGGGAAATCAGCCGGACAAGAGCCAGGAAACCTGTGTCGGGGGGGCCCGAAGGGTTAACACGCAGGAGGCCACGCGTGACTCAGCACAGGAAGCTGGGGAGCCGTGGCCCAGCTGGGCCGGCAGGACGTGGCGGGGGCCGGATCCCAGGAATCCGGCGCCTGGCTCCAAAGCGGCTACCGGGCAGACAGGCCAAGGATGGGGCAAGTGTGTCCTTTGCTCAGAGCCCAGCTCCAGGAGGGCCGGGATGCCTGGGTTCCCTGCCCCAGCACCAGGCAGAGAGGGGGCACAGGCGGGTTACGGGCCACCAAGGCTGGGAGCCTGGATGCCTGGGCTCTGTGCCCATGCCCTCGTGGAGCTGGCGCACCTGTTTGCCTTTCCAGTCTCTGCTCCCTGGCTGAGGTCATCCCCTTCCCCTCCCCCCCGCTCCCAGCTGGCAGGTGGGGGGAAAGGACACATAACAACCCCCCCACCAGCCCCTGGCCGCCTGAACCAGGAAACGCTCCGGCTTTGCACCTGCTCATGCTTCCTGGAGCTGCTGGCTGCGAACGCACCCAAATCCCAGCCCCTGGGCTTGGGGGGGCTCATGAGGGCTCGGGGCTGGGTTTCCCAGGCCCCCATTGCTGCAGCCAGGGCTGCACTTGTCCTGACCCCCCAAAACAGGGGGGCAGCAGGGGCCTAGGTTGCACCCTTGATCCTGCAGGCCCCAGCACCCTTCACCTTTGGTTCACCAGCCCTGCGCCCGGCTGTAAAACTTTATCAGTTGTAAAAAGTTCACCCGGGAGCCCTGACACGCAGCTGGGGGACAGAAGCAGGCCCAGGAGCAGGGGCCAGGCCAGCAGCTGGGGCTCAGCTCTTAAGCTGGTTCATTAGCGGCTCTGAGGCCACAAGTGATCCCCCGGCAGGAAATCCTGCTGTGGGGATGCCCCTAACTTCACCCGCAGCTGCGATGGGGTCTGGGAAGAGCTGTTGAGGCTTGTTGGCACCTGGGGCTCTGCTCCCCCCTGCCCAGAGTGGGGGGCAAAGGGGCAGTGCCCCTGGCCCTCCCTGCAGCCCTGGGGCCCAGGCTGCCAGAGCCACCCCCATGGAAAACCAGCCCCTTTCCTCTCCCTGCAGTGTCGGGGCCAGGGCAGGACCATGAGGCCCTTCCCCCAAGAAGCCAGGGGCCACTGGGACCCCAGGGTGGGTGGCAGAGGGGGTTTACCCAGGGCTCCACACACTCACCTGCCCTGGGCGAGCAGATCGATGGCAACAAGAGAGCGGCTCGGGGGAGGCAGGGACCTGGCTGGGATGGAGCTGTCCAAGGTTCGCTCAGCCCGGCAGGACCCGCCTACTGGCACCACCCCCCCCTTCCTGCCCTGCTGAGGCAGCCCTGAGACTACAAAGCAGAGAGGAAACTGGGCCCTGCCCTGCAGCTCAGGCACCTGGGGAGTGGGGGGGAAATCCACCCATTTTACAGACAGGAAAGCCAAGGCACGTGGCGGCTATGCAACTTCCCAAGGCTGCCAGGGCAAGAGATGGTAGAGGCAGGACTGACTGGGTGCCCGCAGAGGGGCAGGAGGGCACATGAGTATAAGCAGCCCCAAGGCCCCGGCCCCTGCTGCAGCCCCCAGCTGTGGTTTAAGGACCTCATGAGCTGCAAGCTCCCCTCCCCCAGCTGCTCGATCCCTGCTGCCTGGTAGCTGGAGCGAGTCCAATCCCCAGGACCCATAAAACCCAGGGTGCAGCTGAGCAAGAAGCAGAGAAGCCGGGGTCCAAAGGGCATGAGCAGGTGCAGGCCGGGGCGGGGTGGGAGCCACTTACCTGGGTTCTGGGATACAGGCCCCAGCCCCATGCTCCCATCCAGAGGGCATTGGGTTGGCACAACATCCCCACCATGCCCTGGGAATGGCATTAACCCAGGGAGGGGGCACACAGAAGCTGGCACACACCACACAGGGACTCAGCGCCTACAAACCATCCCTTTATTAAAAAAAAATGAACCGAAGCAAGAAACAAAAAGCTTTGCCGACCGCAGGGAAAGGGAAAACAAAACAAAACAAAACGCTTGAGACGTAGCCAGGAGGGGCTGGGGGAGTGCAGGCAGCTGGGAACAGCCCAGCCCAGCCCCCTCGTGCCCCCTGGCCAGACATTCGGCTTCTCACTGCAGCAAGTAACAGAGCAGTTGCATAGGTTGCCGGCTCGTGGCCCCAGGGCAGGTGCCCGGACAGGGTGGAAGGGAAGGGGCTATGGCTGAGTCTATTGCTTACACAGTTGCATTAGCATTGTGTTTGTCAAGGGGAAGGTCCTGGCAGCTGGGACCAGGAGGGCAAAGCCTTCTGGGGAGGGAACTCACATGGCAGGCAGAACCCAGAGCCAGCTTTGGTGCATGGATGATGCTCCAGGCTAGCCTGCGAGGGGGCAATGCCCTCCAGCCCCAATCACGAACCCCTGGCAGGCCAGAACCAGGGGCCCAGAGGGTTTAGGCTCCTGCCCTGATGAGGACGGAGGCAGTGTGAATGGCTGGGGCCCCCTGGAAGATTCGTGGCCCAGGGCAGGCTGGACACGGTTGTCACACACAATTGCAGGCTTCTCAGGCCTGCCCTGGGTGAGCCCACAAGTCTTTGGTAAGTGTTAGCATGAGCAGGAGCTGCCCACACCCATCCCTTGCACACGCACACACACACCCATGTCCATCTCTCGCACGCACGCACACGGCTTCTCAGAAGTTGCCTGCTGATCACGCCAACGGTGGGTGCACAGGGCCTGAGTTCTGCTCCTGGAAATGAATGTCCATCTCCCTGGAGACAGGGCCCTGCGTTCCCCTCCTCCCTGGGGTCCTGGTGCAGAGCCCCTGCCCTGCCCGGAGTGAGGGCTAGCCCCCACCCACAAGCCTCAGCCCCAGCAGCCAGGCTGGGGGGGGCGGGGGACAGGGCCCGAGGCCCATCAGATTGTCTCAGCTTCTCCACTAAGGCCACTAGCTGGGGGCACGGGGCCACAGGGGACATCAAGACTGAGCACATGCCCCAAAAGCCCCCGCAGACCTGCCCCCTTCCCAGCCCCACACAGTCCAGCCCCAAGGCCTGCAGGGATTAGAGCCAGAGGGGCCATGGCTGGTGCCCCCCCTCACTCGAGGAACAGATAGGCACGGGGGGTGGGGGGCACTGGGGTGTCCTCAGCCTCGTCATCCTCCTCGAAGAGCTGTCCCTCCAGGTAGGAGCCGCCCAGGCCATACTCCTGCTCGTGCACCGACACCTCGTTGGGGGTTAGGTGGGAGGCGCCGCCCACAAAGTCTGCAAACCTGGAGCCGGTGGGGAAGCGCCATGAGCACAACCCCATTTTACAGATGGGGAAAACAGAGGCACGGAGGAGCTTTGCGGACACAGAGGGAAGTAGTGTTGCCTAGTGGGCACAGCTGCAGCTAGGACCCCCCTCTCATTTGGGCCAGAGGCACCTCGGACATCCTAGCCCCTCCCACACCTGTTTCCCCAGCTGGGAAATGGGGCTAATGCAGCCCTTGCTCCCAAAGTGCTGGGAGATCAAGCAGCCCAAACACTCACCAGGAGCTGGGGGGCACCTACATGGAAGGGAAGGGGGTACAACTGGCACATGGGGGGGGTACCTCTTTGGGGACTGGATGCGGGAGACAACAGTCCACGCAGAGAAGTCGGGGCTGCTGCAGTAGCTGCGCAGCTCCTCCAGGGCCCGGCGCGTCTCGGCTTCGCCCTGAGCCCGGTACTCCTCCTCCGTCAGCAGGCGCGGTGGGCTGGGCTTTGTTGTGGCCCTCCGCGCCATCCTGCCGGCACACGCCACACTCAGCCCCTGGCCAGGATGATTTAAGGGGGGGAGGGTCTTCCCAACCCTGCATCCCCACTCCATGCCCCTCTCTGGCTTTGGTCTGCGCAGTATGTGGTTGCCAGCTCCAGGACCCCCTCCCCAGTTGGGACCAGCCACGAGGTGGGGAAAGGCAGTGACTGGCTCCACCTAGCGGCCTGCCTCAGATCACCTGAGCATGTGGAGAAGCTCAGAGCTCATGCTCAGGTCTCACGGGCACCTGCCTCTCCCTTGGCTGGAAGCCAGGGGTCTCAGACACATGCCGGGGCCCAGGCATGGCACAGGGGTTGCAATTTGCACAGCATGACCCTTTGCCCCGTGCTCCACCTTACCGGTAGGCGGCATAGCCCCACTGCAGTGGGTACTCCAGGTACTTGGTGCCCACAGCGGTGGCTACGAAGACCAGGGCCATGGGGCGGATCTGGATGCCTGCGTACATGAGCAGCAGCCCCAAGAGCTGCAGGGCCCAGGCCAGGAGGCGGATGCTGCGCTCGTCCTCCAGCGGCCCATAGCGGTAGCACACAGCGAAGCTGCCCAAGCCCACCAGCAGCAGGTAGCCTGTGGGCATGAGGTGTGTGAGTGTCAGCGGGGGCTATACTGTGGGCCACGGAGTGGCGCACACACCCCCAGGCCCTGCCAGGCAGGGAACACAACGCTCCTCAGGCTCTGACCGCATGTGAGATAGGACTTGGAGACCCTTGCATGCCCCAGCCCCCGACAGCACAGGCCTGTCCACCTGACCCCTCCCTTTGCCCCTGCCCCTGGGGGCACTCACCCAGGAGGTACTGCCAGTAGCCCCTGCCGATCTCCTGCAGATTCTTGAAGACCAGCTGGATGAGGTAGAGCGAGAAGGACCAGCCGCCCACGAGCAGGAGGTAAATGGGGCTTTTCTAGTGCACAGCAGACAGGAGGATGAGATGTGTGGGGAGCTCTAATGCCCGCCACCCCGAGCTGGGCACCTGTGAGGGCAGCCCTGGCCCCTGCATCATGCTCTCACCTTTGGCATCACCCGTGACACCACATAGATGATGATGAGGAGGGAGGCCAGCAGGCCCACGCTAATCCCAGCCGAGTAATAGAAGAGCTGGCTCCTGCCGAGATCGCACACACCAGGCAGTTATCAGGCAGGACAGTGGCCTCATGCCCACAAAGGAGCCCCGTGGTGGGGAAAGTGCTGGGGAAATGCCCTGGGGTACGTACCATGGAGTTTGGGACTGGGCCAGTGCACGAGCCTTGGAGCCCCAAGGACTCTGGTCTTACCTGGCTGTTTTGAGACCAGCCCGGCCTGGGTGCAGCTGTGGGGCGCATGGGGCATTTGTAGGGCAACGCTCTCCAACCACCCCCAACTTGACTATGCGTGGGGGAGGAAAACAGACCCACCTGCTCAGCACATCCCCGCAGAAAAACAGCAGCAGCCCCAGGAAGAAAACTAGAAAGAGCTTGGGGTCGAACCCTGGAGGAGACAAGTGCCCCCACCCCAAGTCAGGGCACTCACAGGGCATCACCCTGGTGCACCCCCCCTCCCCCCATGTCCATTGCGGAGACCCAGGGAGGCTAGATCCTGAATGGAAGGGGTGTGCAAGGCCCTGCTAGATGCATGCCCCTAGAGGGCACCTTGCCCACCACAGCCCCTTCCCAAGCAGGCTGGACACTGCAGGCTTCAGGCCCACTTCTGCCCCCTGCAACCACCCCCCTGCCAGCCAGAGACCATGGGGCAGCTTCAGCTTTTGGGCAAACTGCCTTCCACACAGGGGCCGTGCCCTGCTACAGAGGAAGGCAAACGAACCTCCACCCTCAGCCTGTACCAGTCTGACCAGAGGGGAAATCCCTTCCTGCCCCAGTGTAGCATCACCTAGCCAGAGCACAGGGGCAAGACCCTCCAGCCAGGACCCTGTGGGGTTGGTGCCAGCAGGAGCATTGGCACAGCCCAGCCCCCATCCCCAGCCTGGGCTGCAGCAGCACCCAGTGCTTCTGGGGGAGGCTTGGAAACCCTGACGTGTAACAGAAAGAAGAGGAGGCAACCAGCAAGCCACCTGACTGGTCACCCCCATTCCCCACTGGGGCTGTGGGGAGCTGCTTCTAACCCCTCACCCTCACCCCGTGGCTGAGTCAGGGTTGGGGGCCCGGCGGTGATGGGGCCGCAGAGGTTGCGGCTGTGCCTGGGGGCAGGGGGCACATACAGCGCAGCACGATGACACTGTAGGTGGTGTCTGGCTCAGGCAGCTCCACACGCAGGCAGGTCTGGGGGCTGTAGAGGTCCAGACCAATATAGGTGTCATTTATCTTCTCCCTGAGGAGGGAGGAGAGCAGGTTCCAGACGCTGAATTGCTCCAGCTCCCGCAGGTCTGCCTCACTGTCTGCCTGTGTCACCCGCAGTGTCCTGGTGCTGTTGACACGGATCTGGGGGGGGAAGAAATCAGTCAGCAGAGTGGGGGGACATCAGGTGTCCCTGGGCAACCATCCACCTTGTCATGCATCCACAGATGCATCTTGAGCAGGTCCA